CTGGCCAATATACAGTGATCAGGAGCTGCCCTCCTACAAAAAAATAATAATACATTTAATTTAGTATTATCATATTGTCATCCATATATGTTTTATATTTATAATTTCAATGTATATCACAGTCTAAGTGGAGTTGCAGCATAAAGTAATGTTCTAGTGAGTACAGACAATTTTGGGCAATTTCAGTCTGGTTGAGAATCACCGAGATCGCTCTCTTAGATTTTCATGTTAAGGAATAGTATGGCAGTCCCCACCTGGACGAAAATGCACCAGCTGCCGCTGCCAAGAAGATACCAGTCATCGTGTCAGTGAACTGACTTAGTGATGTAATGTCAACTACACAGCCATGTCTAGCTACAGTTTGCCAATACAAGGCAACATTAGCCACAATAAAGCTCTGCTCATACAAGACCAAGTAAAGTTTTAGCAGCAAAACCCCCATATTGAGTTGTATTGAACTGACAAATGGTGCATTTTAATGCTCATGATATATTGTCTCAGTTTAATATTGAAACCGTGGTGAATGTTACGGCACATGATTGACTTGATCTGAGTCACACAGTGCCTTTATCAGATCAAGACATGATGAGATTATCAGATCGTGTCTTAATGTTATCAGTCGAAACAAAGTCTAATTTGAGAGCAATGTTTTGCAATTCACAAATGTTTTCATTAGCTGTGTTTCTCTTGAGTTTATCCTTCATACATACATAGTATTAGCATAAGTGTCATGGCTGATACTTAAAAGAGAACCAGTATTGGCCATGTATATCGGTGTGCTCCTAGTGTCTGTAGGCTCAGTCCCTGTGGACGGGCCAATCAGAGGAACTGTTTTCTCTTGTGTTTCCCCTCATTCTGCCCGCAGCCTCCAGCAAGGAGTGTGTGCTTTCCTGTTTGACCCCAGCAGCAGGTTCAGCCAGAGGCTAAAGGTTCAGCAGCTGAACGAAGCCACAGATTTTTCTCTGCCTGCTCTTAAGCCAGACTCGTGGTATGCTCTTGTCTGTCACCAGCCTTTATTCCTCCAATGGAGCTTTCTGTGTATGTTAACATGCAGGGAAGTCGACTCAAAGTTTAATCACGCAGAAAATGGAAAAGGGCTCCCCTGCACCTGATAGGGCCTATACAGTACACCACCATACAGGTAGCCATTGACCACCCCCTTCTTCCTCCTCCTCACACACACACACACACACACACACACACACTGAGGGGTGTAATGAATCTACGTTTATGCGTCCCATCTGTCTGCAGGTGGTCACACTGCCTCCCAGATGCAGCCATGAGTTTCAAATAGGCAGCAGGGCTGAATTGTTGGCACTGCCTTTCCTCAGTATGGGACTACCCAGCCGTCACAAATGCTCCAAAGGCATATCAGCAGCAAAAGTATTTTTCCTCTAGATGTATGTTAAAGTGTGCCGCACCACCTGGGGAAGGCTAATATACATTGTTTTTGTGCTCCAGTAGTCATATATCCTCATCATCATCTCAGGTGAACACCTTGTTTCACCTCTTACATGTTTGATTCAGGGCGGTCTGTGATATTACGGTGTGGTCTCCCTGTCGAGATGGGAGAGAGGGATGAATTTAGCTTGTGGGTAAAATGAACCACTTCTTTCATCTAAGCAACCATACACACAATGAATTATAAAATCAGACATTTGGGAATTAAGGATTATCCTAAATCAGTGATGGGGGAGGGCACATGAATAAAGCACTACATCACAATTAGCTGACGTTTTTATCCGAAGCAATTTACAGTTGCTTTATACATCAGAGGTCACAACAAGGCTGGGTTTGGAACATTAGCACTCTGTTACAGTCTAAAATGTGTGCATGGCACTGAGTATTGGAAAGTGTAAAGAACCCAAAGCATGGGGTGTCTGGTCAGATTTGTAGTCCAGTTTACTCATTCTTTTATAAGATAGTTGGTGATTTAAATCATAATTTGCCAATTTTGTAACCCATTCACTCTTATCCGCTGGGTGGTTCCATAGCTTTACGAAATCAAAAACGTAGAGTGCAAATGCAACCAGGAAGCATTAGAAATGGACTCAAAACAAACTGTTCCAGTTACTCTACTTCGGACATTTTGACAACTTCAGATGCCTCAGCACAGCCCACCTGGAGCAGGGCTGATTTACATGTAAACCCATGAAAATTGAGACACATTTGATTCAGATTTGTGATCTGGCCAACATACATATACATACACATGCATATACTGTATGTGTCTCACAGTATACGTGTAAGTGTAAAGAAAAGACTATAAAATTGCTGATGACAAGTGTGGCATTTGGTTTGATGACAGATTTTATAGAAAATGCTTTTTTGTTACTTAAAGTTAGGTTTTGAAAAGAAGTTGTTTTAGTATCAGTACCAAAACTCCAAACCAGCTTGTACTTGTATTAGTTATATGCAGGCATAGATGGACAAAATGTAATAGCATCTATTTTCCATCTCCCCCCCTATCAGATGGCCTTGTGTTTCAGACCACTGGCTTTCCTCCAGTGTGGTGTCTCACCATACATCTGCTTTATGGGAAAGCTGCTATTGAATGCTCTCTGCCAGCAACAAGGGGAACCATTTGGAGCATTTGGAGCAATGAAATGACCTCACAATGAAAACAAATGTCTGTCTGTCTGTCTGTCTGTCCTCATCAATGAAACCAGGTCGCACTGCAGCTGTTTAAAGAACGGAGAAATATGGCTGACTTCCCCTATTGAAGTTTGTTTACTCTCAGATGAATACCACTTGAAATTCAAACCAGCAAACATTTCTAAATCCCAACGCAGCACCATTATGTCAGCTTTATGCAAGTCTACTTAAAGATTCTGCAGAACTTTTAAGCAGTTGATGCCGTCACTGTTTCATAACGAGTCGCAGACTTCTCCTTGCACCTTGCCCAAACTGCTCCTCAAATCCAGATAAGAGTGAGAATCGATAGATAGCGAGAGTATAAATCATCTCAATTTAATTAACCTTGGTGGTCATCTTACTATCCATCCCTTATTACAGAGGTAACATATCCTCATATACAGCCCTGTATGTGCCGCAGACTTGGTAAGTCTTCCCTGGAGCCACTGAAGTTGCCAAATGCAAAGCTGGAAATTTGACATGCGCAAAAAGTCACACAGGGTGAATGTAGCGGAAGATTAGATTAAACCGCCAGGGAATTCCATGCAAGGACGAGGGTCCAGTAATTATAAGAGCGTGTCCCTTACAATCAGTAATTGAGTTTACTTTGATGAAGTACGGAAGAAAGCAATCTAATCAGCAGAGATGCTGGAGAGACTGTTCTCCATTTTCTATGCAGACGGGTTGTGTGTATGTGGACAGCGGTTTGGTCTCTGCAGAAATTCAAAGTACATTTTCACTTCAAGGTGCTAAGTGTGTTATGATTCTTGATGTGCTATTAGTGCTTTTTTATCTGCAAATTACGAGCACATCTCCCATAAACACGTCTTTTTAATGTCTCCTACCTGCTGGTTTAGACTGGTTTAAGAAAAATATAAGTAGTTTGTTTTTCACTTGATTTGTGCCACAGAAACAGTGCCCACTTCTTGTTCCATGCTGTAAAACGGTTCAACAGATTTACAGCTAAATCTTACCTGGTGGTTACAATGCAAAATGTGCAGGGCCTATATTGGGTATGCAATACCTTTATTTAACTAAAAATACCCTGCAGAGTTTTTGACACTAGTAGCACTAAGAAGCAATGTTCCTACAAGTGGGTCCTTGTTGTTTCTTTGTAATGTGCACAAGGAAACATTTACACACAGTCCTGCTACAGGTTACATACCATTCTGCTGGTCGACAGGTGGTAGCAGTAATATAAAGAGGCATAGCAACGTGGCAACAAAGACAGTGAAGTGGATTACTGCTAACAAGCAAACATGGATGTCAACAATCAAATTGGTTTTGCATCTTTCACCCACCAACCTTCTTAGCAGATTTTATTTTGTTGCCTCAGGGCAGCAGTTTGCACTAATCCAATATTTTCTCAACATTTATTAGGAAAATCAAGAGAGAACTTGTACTCTTTTTAATTTCTTGAAATCTTGCCTCTTTCTCTTTTCCCAGAGTTCCTGTGCCATGTAGGATTTGAATGAGAATGAAAACTAGCCTGACTGCATAACGTTGCCCTGAGGCAAGAAAAACAAAAATACATTTTAAATAAATATTTGACCACAAAATAAAAAAAAGGGTTCCTTAGATGTTGCTACACAAGCACATATTGTTTTTAGTGATGTTGTTAGTGTCTAAATATCCAAAATAATGAAATTTAGCTTAGCCTTCACTCACACCACATGCTCATGTCGATTGTCCCCCCCCCCCCCCCCCCCCCCCCCTTCTGTGTGGGTAGCTGTGAGAACCAAAAAAAGATTCTGTTGCCTGAGGGCATTAGATAAAATGTTAGAAAAAGCCACTCTTGCGGCTGTGTGAGTGCTTGACATGCTAACATGCACTCAATGACAATGCTGACACATTTATTAGGTAATGCTCACCATCTTAGTTTAGCGTGTTAGCATGCTAACTTTTGCAAATTGTACCTGTTTCAAACCAAGAATTTCCCATTTAAAGCTCCATTAAACTTATATCAGGCTACATTTGCATTTTGTTACACATTAATCAGATTGTACTTGAACCAGGACAAGTGGGTGTAACTATCGTAGTGGGAGGCACCTTCTGATTAGTCTCAACCTGCCAGCACCAAACCACACATTTAGTGAAATGAACAAACAGGGGACATTCCAGCAATCTGATTTTGTTGGCATTTTTATAGGAACCTATTCCATCCAGGAATATGTGTGTAACAGCGTTCGTCCTTTATTTTTTAGAGACTTAGAGAAAACAGTTGAGGTGAGGCAGTTTTGAATCATGTCTTGTTTCCTGGTTTTAAATGTAAATATATTTTTCTAGTTCCAGATGTCTAAATTAATCATTCAGTAATTTGAAATAAAAACCTCTCCATCTTCTTCTCTTGTTTGCATTCCCTGCAGCCATTGAAACGCAGAGCACCAGTTCTGAGGAGCTCGTCCCCAGCCCGCCATCCCCGCCGCCCCCACCCAGAGTCTACAAGCCCTGCTTCGTCTGCCAGGACAAGTCCTCTGGATACCACTATGGTGTCAGTGCTTGTGAGGGCTGCAAGGTAGGACCTCCTCAGACTAATGCCGGGATCAGATGCAATAGCGGCCCGGATGAAAATTGGCCATTTTATCCCATTTAGTGTATCATCATGGACAACAACCGATGCTACATCTGGGACACCTCATGACGTCCTGACAAATGTTTTTTTGCTTTCCACTACAAATTCCATGACATGTTCCATGACATTGACTGACAGAGTGCTCTTCCGCACACAGCTGTAAACACTGTGAAGTGAAAATGAAAGAGGATGTTGTGAGTGCTGCTAGGTGGAACTGTGAAACAGAGGAAATGTCAGTCTTATTTTTTTTTTTTTTTAGGCTTTTCCAAATGCGCACGTTGTGAAAGATGTCACGCTGTGATTGGTCAGTCACAGTAAGAATTCATGACTATATTTGCCTAACCTGACACAGTGACGATCTTTAATTAAAAATCTCTAATTGAAATAGTTGTTAAGTCACTGTCCTGTATGCTGCCTCTGGGTCGGATTATCCAGGAATTCCATTGGCTTACGTACGCTGTGACGTTCAAGTGCGCTACTCATTCTGCAAAGAATCACTCTAAACAGCGACAGTGCAGCCAACGAAACGGAGTCCAAAATATATATTTTAATTTTGTATTTCAGTTTAAATGTTCAAATTACATAATGTTCACTTGTCGGCTAATGTGCAAAATACTATAGTTGTATGGCTTGCCACGTTACTTCACTAGCTAACGCAATCCAAATTACTATTCTATGTACCGGTATTATGTCCAAGTGTTGATTTTAGCCTGCAAGAAAAGATGTGAGGGTTTTAGCTATGCTGAAAATGGTAAACTGTAATTAAATGGTAATAGTAAGTAAACTGCAAAGAATACAAAAGTCTGTTTTCAAGTATACTTCGAAATAGAAGGTTCTTTAGAGAGACCCATTTCGGTACAGTAATGTTACTACGGTCTAACTGCATTAAAAGCATTCAACTGGCTAAACCCAAGCTGACTTTTATTATGAAGTAGACACAGGAAATGCAATGTGTTATCAGTGGGATAAGCACTGACTGCTATCGTTCATCAAACATGTGTCTACAAAACAAGATAACAGTCTTTTTCACAATTTTCTGACAGCAGATCAGTTTGAAATATTGCAGAGAGAGTCAGGAGCAGCGACAGTAAGAGAGAAAGAGCTGCAGGCGACAGGCTGCACACAATTTCTCAGCGAGCTAACCAACTCCTTTCACTGTGGCCTGCTGTTCACAGACTCCTGCTGTGCGCAGCATAAAATCAGATCACTGTTGCTCACAGAATGATGGAACAAGGCCAATTACTGCCCGACTTCTTTATTAAAACGACAACAGTTTGTTTAGCTGCTCCCACAATTCAGGGACCTGTAGAATGAAACCGTACTTGCTGTTGGGCCCACCACCAGTAACCACCGGGGCCAAATCAACCAGGAAATCTTAAGGATTACAACTTAAAGAGACAGTTTGAAGCTGGTATAAGTGACATGCAGTATTTTGTCTCGGTGACACTGAGACAAAGAGCATTTTCACCCAGAGTAGTTTGTGGCATGTGAGTAAGTGGTTTTCACACACCATTTCACCTTTTCGAGTCGAGTCGCTCAGCACCTTTGGTTTCTTCATGGTTTTTTTGTACATTTCACATAGCATACACGGTTTTCTTTTTAATTGTTGGTTTCAGTGTCGACCTTGGAAATAATAGTTTTACAAAACAAACAATTCCAGTTTGAGGTCCACTTCCTAGCTTTTTTTTTCTCAATCTGAGCTTGAATTGAGATTTTTTTGTCAAACTGGTAATTCCAAGTGCAACACTGAACTTCCGTGCGGAATGTTTGAGTCAGTAGAAACTCACAACAACTACTGAACTCGTGTTTGAACAAATCCATTTGATATTGAGTGTGTAGTACAGGTAAAAGCTCAGGTAAAAAGTTAAGTTTATTTTTCAATTGTCAATGACATATTTTCAATTTGTATTTGTTTATATCGCGTATTTATATTAAGAAATAGACACTTATTGTTATGTGAGTCTCAATAATAATATTGGTATTGGCCCCAAAATCCACTATACTGTAAATTGCCCACAGGGGTGATTGTGAGTGTAGATGGTAGTATTAAAGAAATAATACAGAATAGTAAAAGCAATGTTATAAAATCCTTGAATTCATTACACAAATAGCTTTATATTTATTTGCGTTATAATTAAAAAGCAGTGGTGGATGAAGTATTCAGATCTTTTACTTACTCACTGTAAAAATACTGTTATGCAGTAATACTGCTCTGAATATGTTACTCTAGTAACAGTATGTATAATCAGAAAAATGGAACAAAAAGTATTAAGTAAAAGTACTCATTCCAGAAAGTAAAAAATCCTGATACTATTATATTTTATATCATTAGATTATTTTTACTCATGCATTAATGTAAAAGCAGGATTTTACTTATGTAGTTAGTTGAGGTTGAACTATTTTTTATCAGACTGCATTTAATGACTTTTTTCATTATGGATTAATCTGCTGATCAGTGAACAAATGTACTAACTGTAAAAGAATACAGATAACATTTTTTAAACTCTTCATTTGTTGTGTGTGTAAAAATAATTTTTGTAAAGTGACTATTGAAGCTGCACGATAAATGTAGTGAAGTAAAAAGTATAATATCTCCCTCTGAGGTGTGGTGGAGTAGAAGTAGGAAGTGGCATGGAAAGAAAATACTCAAGTAAAGTCCAAGCACAGTACTTGAAAAAATGTACTATCCACCACTGTCAAAAAGTTATAAGACTCTGTAACAAAATGAAATGAATACGTGTGGACAAAAGTCTATGTGAAAGATCACATATCTTTAAGGGTAATTAGCCGAGATGTTTGGATTTATTTTCACAGGTTTTTAAATGCCTTGAGCAACACAAACGTAATTCCATTTACATCAATTGTACTGGGAAAGCTGCAGATAACCTAGTCAGGAGAGTACCTCCTCTCAGTCTCTCTCAAATGTTCTACTTTTAGAAATTCCTTCCAACATCTGCCCTGCCAGCACTTGTCTGTCTTCTTCCACCTACAGCAGCTGTTGCTAGGCAACAGCTCACGCCCGCATGCATAGATATATATAAATAACCACCGGGCCAGTCAGTGGTTAGGCTGCTAAGTAAACTGTACCTTTTAAAGCATAATTAAATGATTCTGTAACATTTTATATGTAAAACTGCTGAAAATTAAAAAGTAAAGCTTTACATTACTTAGTGGCATCAATAAAGGATTACAGTAATACCCTCTTGAGAATTGCAGCCTGTATAATTCCGTCCAAGGCGATGCCATTTTCTTCCATGCAGTCAGACGGTGTGATGTCCTCTCTCCTTCCCGCCTCTGTAATTGAAGCAGTGGTATGCTAGGAATCCTTTGGAGTTTTTGGCCCAGAGGGAGGTGGTGATCAGCTCACTCGCTAGGCTCCGGGTCAAACCAAGTTCTCTGCGGACTCCCATGCCATTTATGTGCATGACCTCTGACCTCGCTGTACTGGCTTTTACAAAAAAATGATGGATGGTTTATCGAGTATTTGGCACATACACACTGACAGATCACTGGATCGTACTGAGAATCCTGAGTGCAGGTTGTGCTTCCCTAACAGATGCACACTGTGAATAAATTGAAATCTGTCAGAGTGCTTCTGAGAATACAGCCAGTGTGGCAGAGTTTCATCTGCTCACTCTACAGCACGCTGATGTAAAAATAGTTCAATTCATGGCAGAATGGACTTAATTTTTGTAACATCTTGACTCAAGAGGATTAAGCAGCCGAATAGTTTTTTCCCCTGTGTTTTATTTCTGCCTCCATAGTGAAGGCATTGTTGTCTGCAGTGCAAGGGGCAAGCCCCTTCCATTGGATAGATGCAACCATGCATGCTGTACAGCTGTAGGCTTTTAGCCAGCAAGAAGAGCCTTTTACTTCCCGGTGAATGTGCCAATTAGAGCCACAAATAGACTCAAAGACAGATAGAGTGTGTGCTTTGTAGGCTATGTTAATGCGCGTGTGAAGCACTTGTTAAAAAAAGTCATGCACATGTAACCGGCTGCCCCCGAGAACGTACTGCACGGTCCTGACTTGAACCGGCGACCTTGGGTACGGGAGGTGGACACGCTGACAAGGAGGCTAAAAACCATGGCCAATAGCGTCGGTCGCCAGTGCGTCCCTTAAGGTGTCGGGGAGTGAGGTTTACTCACTACACAGCCACGCTGGCTTCCGTCACACACATGTAGCAAAATTAATTCACACTGCACAGACGGCCAGTCCCAACTCTGTAAATAATTGAGTGTCACATTGGTTAGGTTTTCTCAGCACTCACAGAAACATCAGATCATTAAAATGAATTTAAGACTAATGAGTTTTGAGGTTTTCCCAGGAATGGCAGGTAGGGCCTAAATCCAGGTTTGTATCAATTTGTTTTGTTTTTTTATATACAGCCAACAGACAATGTCAGTTAGAAAAACTATTTTACAAAATCAGTTTATTTCATATTCCTGTTCAATACAAATAGACTTATTTATTTCAGTAAATACTTAAATATTTGTACTACACTGGACAAATAAGTGAAATAGTTAAGGTGCTGTACAAACACACATATTTCTTCAGTTTGCAGAACAGGGCTGTGTCTGGCTTGTTCACTCATGCAAAACTCGCTATTTAACACTCAGTAGTTTACTCTATAGTGATATATGTGTATATTGACATTTTTTTTATCATCGAGAAAGGAGTGCACATGCCATACTTTCTTTGGTTCCATTGCAGTAATTTTGGTCGCACTATATAGAGTAAATAGGGGGTGCTTTCCATTCAGCTAACGTGGCTGGAGGAATTGTATTCGGGGGACGTCCTCATTCTTTGTTGTCATTTTAGGAGACGGCTGTTACAAATGACGCACAGAATCTCAGCTGTCAAAATATGTGAAGAAATTTGGGCACAATAAAAACAGCCATAAATGTTCAGAATGAAACGTTCAGCCAAATTAGTCTGTGAAA